GTGGAAAGTCCGCGGGAATGCGGCCACTGCGCCGCAACCACTTTATAAAGAAGCCGCAGTCGTTCTTCAAGCAATCAGCGTACTATCTTTCCGGTGAACGCTTGCCTATAAATCGTATGGCCGCGCAACCCGGCGATTATCTGAGCTGCTAGCGCACTACCGGAACGTCGATTGAATACAAGGCACGAAAACATGATGTGGCACACCGCCAAGGTACTGCTGATGCTGCCACAATGAGAAACCAATTGCTATCAATATGAGCAGAGTACGAGACAGTGAACAAACCAGAATTAGGAGGCGACTGTGCTTGCCTGCGATACAAGTTGGATGCGAAACGAAGTGCGCAATTTATGATCTGCTGTTCACGGTCGAGTACTCACGCCGCATTTCATACACTCAAATTCTGCGCATTGCGTTCAGACTCGACCAAAGGCGACTGTGTTCTTAGCACTAATTACCAGAACTTCTCACTTTTGCTAGCGGAATCATTATGTAGCAACCATAAAATGCTACAACAAGAGAGATTATACCAACCACTTGCGAAAGCATAAACCACCTGCAAGAACTTTTACTCAACAATGATGATGTGCAGCAATAACACATAATGCTTGTCATAAAGTTTAGATGGTAGCAACAAGACTGCGAAGAAGTATAATTTTTGGAAGTTCGTATGAGGCTATTAAGAAAGCAGTATAAGCGTTTTCAAAGAAATACAATCTTTAGAAGTGTAGTATGGATAAATGTTTCGCGCCCTAAAATCTTTTTTTCTTTTGCCAGGGTATCGCAGTTTTAGCGACAAGCTCCAGGCAACGTGCGCTTTACTTTTAAGGAACGTATAGATTATAATCTAACTCCGTATTAAAATGATTTGTGGCTTGAGAAGCGCTCGAATAATTTTTCTTCAAGACAAACTAAGAAGTGCCGTACTGTCATAGCTATATATATGAATATGTTCACACATTAACAAGAACCATATAGCAAGCATGTCACTCTTTAACAAACTTAATCTCTTTTTGATGAGGGAGTGCCCCAGCAAAACTCAAAAACATTCGGCAAAATGTCAAGTCGAGTAGTGACTAAAATCGCGCGAGGTGTACATGCGCGAGTCTGACATGGAATTGTGAGCAAAGGGTGGGCGCGGTCGGGGCGATATAGAAATTTAGCTTTAGTTCAGCATGCACTTGACCGAATTCCTGATCTTATTCAAATCGCATTAGTATTTTCTGACTGCTTTCAGCAGCTGTTTAAAAACGTCCTGATCAAACTAATCCGTACTTTAGACGGCAAGTACTCATACCGGGGAGTATAGGAATCATTGAAACGAACGTAATACTCACAGATTGTGCCGATGTCCAAGCTCCATGAAGACCACGACACTATTTACTTCAATAATGGTTCGAAGAACAGGTGTTTGAAATACGAGCCATTCGATCCGCTGCAGGTTTCTTCTGTATGCAACCGATATAAGACCCATAACCAACACGGTACTTGCACAAACTATAAACTCACTCTGTGCACGGAACATATGGCAGACAACTCAAGCAGCATAGAGGAGTGATGCGAAATGAAATGGGGATGTTTCTAAAGGAATGAATATCGCCATTGACTGAAACTTCAAAGGATAACAAAACTACACTATTCTCTAAAGTTAAAAATTGAAGTAGAAATTATAGAAGTTGAGTTGAAGATGAATGAATAGAGAACTTGAGCAGATTTTGTTTAATAAAACAGATTTAGGACTTGTAAGACATTTCAGATACACTTTTACATTGTTCTTCCGAATCTCTTACACTGATTCTTCTTTTAGATTTTTCGAACCAAGTGCTCGTGGTAGAGTTGAGATAATTAGGAGTGACGTACACTCAATGATTTTTTTCAAATCACAGAAGTGGCGGAATCTACCCGGGACACAAGCAGCATAGAACCGATACAAGCTTGAAAGGGTGCACAAAAGTCCGATCCCGCTGCAAAAAAGACTCACTCAAATCTGAGTGCCTATATGCTTGAGCAACAGTGGATGGAAATTTAGTCTTTGTGCACTCCACGGAGTTATTTTTAGAATGAACTCAAAACAGAATCATCAACATTCCGCGTGAGCAAGAAAAAATGTGTGCAACATCTAAAGTACACACCATAAATCAAAATGATACATACAAATAAAAAATGGAGACGTTACAAGTGATCACAGTGACAATTTTTACAGATGGCTTTCTCTTATATACGCTCCACGTGCTCATCCACTTTGCTCTTGTTGCAGCAATCCTGATGTTGCGTCATATACGCACGGCATGTACACACGAACTTGGGACAAGCGGACTTTCGCTTGTCCCTGTTTTAGCACCGTATCAGAAGGCCTTCAATGCGGTTCTGATCCTCCAGTTGTTAGTGATCCTGTAGCTGTCTGTGCTCGTTATCGAAAGCGTCCCTTTTTGCAAAGATTTTCTCCTAATCCCCGCCGCGGTATGTCTCAGAAACATTTCTTGTTTTTACGCAGAATTATTTTTGGATTTTTTCAAGCATTTTCACGCTCGGATTCAAAATATGAAGTTCGAGAATCGTATTCCTATTAGCACAAAAACCATTTTCTTTGGCTTTAACTGCAACGGTGCTAACTTCAAGTGTTAAGCATAAATCAAATGGACGGCATATGGCACAGGATTGTAGCACTGACACAAACTAAATCCATTTCACTACATGCGACTGAGCTTTTTGAGTGAAGCTGCGCATCCGCTTCGCTACCAGCCAAGCAAAGGCCGAAGATGAGTAGACGCAGAGACGAGTTCTTGCCACGATAGTAGCGCCGTCGCCATAGCCCCTGGGCGTTCAGTTGCAACGCGATCTGACAGTTTGCCAGATGTCTTCAAGAGCAATACCGACAGACACCAGAGTATGCACACCATGCTTAATTTCCGTGGATTGATGAAACGATCTATTTTGTATACATTCAAAAACCCTTCACGATAAATTATGAGATTGAATATCGTCAAATCGCTTCGTGATTGAAATCGCGTGAGATCTGCAAAGCGCCATACGGCCACGTGGCGGAATCCAATTTCTGCCCAACGTTGAAAGTGACTGTAGAGGGGAATTGCATTTGTCTTGTTCTTCACTGCGTTAAGAGCTGAAGTGGAAATGCTGTCCAGATGCCATTGAACATCGTACTCGACATACAGTTTAATTGAGGCCACTGGCTGTTCAGCAAGCCTTGAGTCAAAATTAGGTAGGATTAATACAGCTTGGTTCTCTTGAAGAAAACTCGGAATGTATTACTATCAATTTCATTGAAATAGAGAGAGGTAAAATACACTCTCAGTCATCATCCATTACAAAACAGTCTCGGTGTATAATACAAATTTTGAGCTCAAAATATGTTTAAGGCTGCGTTCATACTGGTCTCAAAGTCCGAAAACAATTCCAGCACAGCAATTCAGCTCGAGCGCTGTGCTGAGACTGTTCACGGACTTCGGGATCAGCATGGACGCAGCCTAACAGTCTGCCACATTCCGGTACAGCCAGGCTCAAAGATAGAAGAAAGTAGAGAAAAAATACCAATAGTGCGGTTAAAGGCGCCGTTTACCCTAACTCGGGAGATTCGAATTCTAGACATCATAAGATAGTGGGGTCTCCTATCAATCCAATGAACAATTTGCGGCTCAGAATGTCGCTTCGGAGCAACGAGATGGCTCCGGGAATAACGAATAGGCACGTGGGCCCATCGCAACTTCGCTCCCTCCTCCTTCCCCCCTTCCAGTAGTGCACGATCATCGTGCCTGCTCAATCAATCGCCGTCCACCCCGACAACCCAGGGTTCTCCTAAACAGGACCGTAGGAGTTTTCACAGATTCTCTACTTTATATTCGAAAGTAGGAACGTGAGAAGGCATCGGAACGGCAAAAATTTGGAGGTCGACAATCTAGGTGAATCTGGTGCCTTTGACTCCGTGGTAAAGAGTAGGATACCGATTGAGAGCAAACAAAAATTTGAATGGCTGACAGTATAATGGAAAGCTTAGATCTTTGAGAGGAAACGGAGTTTATATACCTGACGGCGAAAAATAGCAGATGGGTAATAAAGTCTTGAATAAAAAAAATGACTACTTCAACGGTCTTTGTTTCTGCAGGCATCATTAGCTTTGATTATCTATTAGGCATCGAGAATATCTCAATACTTCTATACTCGTTTCATGCAATCTTTGACTATCTTCTTCACGGTGACTCAAGAGTAGTAGAACAAGAAATTCTTCGTGTGATTCCTTTGAGAAGTGCAAGACAGTCTTTCAACCAACCTTTTCATGCAATAATCAGACATTTGTTTTCGCCCACCAAATATGTTGAACAATAAGGAGATAGCAGCAAATAAGCATACTGACAGATATCTAGAAAGGCCTTTTTCAAACGTTTATCGTGGCCACCAGGTTTGAAGGCTCACACAAGAGCAAAAGCGTATAAAAATACTGCTGCACGTGGTATAAACATACCGGAAACGTTACAAACAGCTGCGATCTAAATTTTTGAAGGTTGGAAAATTCCGAAAGATAAAGATGGTAAGTGACATACCGGAAACATGAATACGAGAAAATAAAAATTTGTCTTTATGCGATGATTACCAATGTACTTTACAATGTAATATAGCTGGACAAAGGACAAAAGAACGGTTAATAGCGTGAACAAAAAAGCCAAAGCAAGCAGTGCGCCATAAAATGGATCAATGCCTGAAATAAATTTTTGATCTCAAAAAACGCTTCAAAAATCGCATTGTACCCTGCAACCAGATTTGTGTCTCAGGCAGCGGTAGATCATCGAACGTTGAGTTATATGAGATTATGAATGTCTTTACTATCTCCATGTGTCATTAAACTGCAATTGTTGCCTATTATTTGGTAATGCAAAAATATTTTAGAAATAGCGATCGATATAGGGAGTCAATGTTAACAGCAATATTTGCCTATATTTCTGAGCAACACGCAGTTCCCACTCATAGTCTGTTTTTGTATGTACTGAAGTTAAAACTACGATCGCCAAAACAATGAGCAGGTCTATTCATTTCATCTCAAAACTCAGTACGCTCAAGGTGTTTCTTAAAAGACAACGAAAGACATTAGTCCTACACTGTCTAGTTACAAGACACCTCATAATTACTGCCGTGCGACAAGGATGCGAGATAACCTGAATTGGGGCTGTGCCCGTACCGTGGCCAAATCTTGATTCACATTAGGAAAATTCTAAATATAGTGACACCATTGAATTTGAGATTTTTTAATTTTCTAATGAGGTGCATCTCTCTGTTTGGTCAGGTGCAGATGCCAGTAGGCAGACATGTTTCGGGAAACGGTCCTTCTGAACCCACCGTCTACTACAATGGCCTTGAAAGTAGAGTGTGCACGCTTGCGCTGCGGCCATTGCGGACGAGTCTTATGCGAAACGCTTTATTTTCGAAAGTCTTCAGCGCTCACCGTTGAGTGCTCTGGTAATCCTCACATTATCCAGTCCCATTTCTGTAAAGTTGCTGTTCGCTGCATTCTGCTATTCTTCGGCCTAATTTTACCCTGATCTTATAACTCAGGTTTGTTTCTGGAAACGTAGTTCTAAAATCAAAATCATCCTATGAGGTGCGTTCCCATCTCGCTCTAATTAATTTTACTGCCATATTTTGTTTGCTTGCATCCTTTCCGCTTCATGCACTGACAAATATGAACGTTTTGAACTGCATGATGCTTCGAAAGGAAAGCAATTGCCGATCCACAATACAAAGTACAACAGATGGTTTCCTATGAACTCAGCACGATATTTATACTTTATGATTTGCTCTAAAATTCAGCATACCGGGCAAACATGTCCGGTAGCATCTAATTTCTTAGCGCGAACGTTGCTCATCTCTCACTAATATATAATAGATTTTTTAAGGTCGTGCGTGGAATTTTGAATATTTGAGCCATTGCTTGTAGATGAAAGTTTTGAGTTATACAGGGTGTCCCGAGAAAATGTGAACACTGTTTAATCGTTAATAACTCTCTTGCT